CCATTATATTGATTCCAAACCTGTAATTTTATCAGTTTAATTATAACCCCCTGGCAGCTTTCTGACCTTCACCAAAAGGGTATTAAGAAGTTCTATCAAAGAATAATCTGGTATTGCAAGTGCAGGTCCACACTTTCATTAAAATCAACGACTTTCATTCACTTAAGTGGCATTACTTTGTCCCAGAGATATCCTGTAAATGAATTCAACTCTGCCAATGCATTAAAAAAACATCTCCGGAGAGATGTTTGTATGTATAGCCTACGTGTGTGGGCACATGCATGCGACATTTATATTGATGGGCCTCCAGGTCACAAGACCCGGAACGACGTTCCCGGTTGTCCTTCCCCCTTACAACGGTTCCACGGTTTCCCACAGCTACGAATCGCTTTAGTGCAAAGCATTTATTTCTTGTGTTCTCCGCTGACAAAAAAGCCAAACTCATCTTCACGCATCATTAAATTTCATTACCATTTTCGAATTGCCTCCCGACTGCATGTTACCTCTGTCTCGCTTTAATCGCACAAACGCGCAATCAATCCCTGCCTGTCCTGCCGCGCCGACTGTTTATCTTGTCATTCACTGCCCGTGATGGAGAAGGTTCCCCGGGGACCGCTGAATAGCGCTGATAACACAAATGACCATATTTAGATGCCTTCAAACAGGTAGGGTTGAAGTGTGTGTGTGTGTGTGTGTGTTTGAGTGCATGTGTGTGTGTGTGTGTGTGTGTGTGAGAGAAAAGGCTGTGCTTGTAACAGCATATGCCACTTACTATTTTCACACTATGTAGTATACCCTTTTGGAAAGTAACTAACTAAAAGTAGCAGCTCAAATAACTCTTGTGCTTTTTCAGTAGTGAGTAGAAGTTGTCTTTGTGAAAAAAAATGCTTCATCATTATTTTGTGGCATGCATACATTTACATTGTATTTTTTGTATGTTTGGTGTATTGGTGACATTTAGCATATTTGTTCTTTCAGCTTTTGTTCCAATTATCTACATTTACATTTGTGCATTTGGCAGATGCTTTCGTCTATATACATTTGATCAATTTATGCATTCCCAGGAGCTTTTGTTTGCTTAAAAAATAAAATAAAATAAAAAAAGAAAGAAAGAAAGAAACAAACAAATAAATAAATAAAAGAAAATCTGTCAAGAATCATCCAGTGCTACTCACTGAGTCACCGTGCCGCCCACAAATACTCTATTATTCAAAGGTTTGGAGTCAGTAAGATTTAAGGAAAGTACAAGAAAAAAATTTATATGAATTAAAACATTTTAAGCAATGATACAGTAAAGTACGGAAGTTCTAAGCGGCCATGCATTATTATTTTTTTCCTTCTTGTTTTCTCGTTATAACGACTTATTTTCTCGTTATATCGACATAACGAGAGTTGTTTTCTCGTTATAACGACTTATTTTCTCGTTATATCGACATAACGAGAGTTGTTTTCTCGTTATAACGACTTATTTTCTCGTTATATCGACATAACGAGAGTTGTTTTCTCGTTATAAC